ACTATGTTCGGAGATGATCCCACGGAGGAACGGGTAGGTGATATGGTGGAGGCGCTGCTGGGCATGTTAGAAATTGCTCAACTCTTCAGACACCTGTTCTTGGGATGGGGCGACATCGAGGCTTTGAGGACGGGATTAGAGGAATCCATCAAGCGCGTCACTGCATCGCTGTACGACAGGACAACGTATGAGAACCGAAAGCGATCGATGATCAGAACATTGGACCCGCACTCTGATGAGGCGGCAAACGTGGCACTGATTCTCGTTCGCATGAGGACCATGCCGCCTCCTGAATTCGACATCGACCACTTCTTCGAAATTGGGAAAGAACCAGAACAGGGAGCGGAGGCTACTGACCAGCCCGAGGCCGAAGGTGTCGATATGGAGACTGAATGTGAACAGGAGAAGGAGGAGCAAGACGTTGACATGTCCGATCCGAAGACATCAATACTGCAAGCCATCGACGAATTCGAGAAGAAGATCGGGCAAGCGGAGTTCTGCATCCACTGCATGAAGTCGGGACACACAACTCTCAATTGCGAGAAGATCCCTTCATCTTCACCCACAGTCACCTCAGTGTTGAGTGATTGGAAGAAGAGAGTGAAGGGAGAGGTTGCACCCGACGATGTACCATCCGGACATCCAACCGAGGAGCCTAAGAAGAAGAAGCAGAGAGCATCGCCTACTCCAGATAGGAAGGTCGACAGCGAGTTCAGGCGAAAAGAAATGTTGAAAGCAAGAGTCGTGACAATGTTTGACCATGACGGGTTCACCTTGATTGAAAGTGCCGATGGAGTCGAAGGAGGGACACATTCCTACAATGGGCGGAAGCTTGCGGAAGTAGGTCCTAGGGATATGAGGGTGGTGTACGAATTTGTAGAGAAGGCATTTGTGCACTCCAGCTCCCTCAAACCAAAGGCATGTCATCAATTCTATCCCCTACCGACACGGAGGGAGAAGGGATACAAGCCGATCGACCCCATGACGATGGTCGGGAAAGTTGAGCTAGTACCGATCAACGGAGTCACTTTCGCTGCACAGAACTCCGACTACGGCAACCACAAGTATCCGACTCCAGACTGTCGAGTACCTGAATACAGCCAAGCGAGCCAGGTCCTGAGTCGCCGATTGGGAGCGAAGTTGAGACATCGAATTGGACGCCAGTTCAGGACAGGAGGAAGACTCACACCAATCAAATGCGATGAGGGCGCATGGGTGTCATGGGAAGACCTGTTAGGTGATAACGCAGTTTGGGAAGACGGTTATCACTATGGCAATATAGACATCGTGACAAGAAGGCGCGTTTGGAGAAGTACCTCGACCAGAACTATGAGTGTTTCCGCATAACCAAGAGGATCAGATTCCAAATGTTGGCGGTCCGTGTTCACCCTGATGAACTCAATGACCCTGATGACCCGATGGAGAAGGAATGGATTGACGAGCTCAAGGGCATGGGAATCTCCAAAGGAAGACTCCACCATAGCGATGGATGGTGCTTTCCCGTGGCTGTAAGAGCAACCTCAGCACACTCATCGGACGGTGGAGGTTATGACGTTACCATCAACATCGACCACATTGGATCGAGAATGACCAACGACATGGCCCTATCTATGGTGACTGCATTTCACGCTACCAATCTTGGAGCGCTGACTTCAATCATGCGACGGGGGCTAGTGCCAGGAGGTCTCGGTTCATCGGGAAGGGATTCTATCCACTTCACATGTTTTCCGCCATGGGCCTGGGAGCAGGGCTACAAGGGAAAACCTTGGCTGGGTCGTAAGGTCGCATTGAGTGATCGCCCAGTGGTTCTCTACATTCCGGTGTGGAAGCTGCAGGAGTACGGGCTTCTCATCTCAGCGACTGGATCTCTATTGGTTGAGGACGTCGTTCCCTTCGATGAGGTTAAAGGGGCATGGTTGCAATGCGACAATGCAGAACCCGGACAGCCTGAGGAGATCGAATGGATCAGGTTACTCAATAGAGAACCCGACCCTGGAAGCTACCTTGTTCTGGAGTCCAAATACGGAAACCCGATCATGACTCCACGCTATCAAAAGCTTGAGAGTTTAGCGGTTGAGGTTCAGGACGACACTTACTCCGAGGACGACGCCAAAATCTCAAAGCTGTTGGGCATGATCGAGGAGAGTGGTGTCTACCCAGAATATGATAGCACCGAGTGGCAGGAAATCTTTGAGGAGATCGTGTACCGCCGGGCAATGAAAGACTATGACTCAAGACCGTGTCCTAACTGTCTTGGCGAAGTCGATGTGCGATTGACGATATGTCCGCACTGCGTAGCGGTTTTGATCGCGAATGGGAAGCTCACGCATGTGGTACCCAAGGAGACAAGGGACCGCAATCAACGATCACCTCCGAGGGATGTCCCAGCCAGTTCTTCCGGTGAGGCAACTTCTGCTGCAGGTGCAAACATCGATGAAGTCATCAAGAATGCACGCAAGACAGCCGAAGAAGTCATTGACGTCGAGGAATCCGAAGGAGAGGAAGACGAGGAAGTTCCTATCATTTTGAAGGAACGACCGGACGAAGCTGAAGGCGAACCCGAATATCGAGAGGTCCCTCAAGATGGATACGGGAATGAACTTCCACAGCCTTTCCCCTTCGCAATTGACGAATTGCCGCAAGAAGCTGCGATCCCCATCGACCACAACTTTGCAGTCACACAGCAATTTGATCTGAGGTTGATGAAGTTGATCAAGAGCTTGGCCAACGCAACGTTCGACATCAATTGCTTTGAGAGTCGTGAAGACGTACTGCGAAAGTTCGACGATGGACAGCGGCATGATACTCCATACAATAGATGGCCAATAGTACCGAATGATCCGGATACTGGGTTTCCAAGACGCCTTCAGAGAGCCGAGGTCGTAGGCATGAGCAAATGGACCAACGACGTGTATGCAACAGAAGCGTGGCAGATCTATGAATTCCACGCCCACGTTATTCACCCGATGATGATCACTGCAATCCGCTGCGGGCTTAGCCATAAGTACCTCAAAGAGGTCGGCAGCACTCGGCGTAACATGAGTGATCCAAAGGCTCGAAGATCTGAGACCCAGGAAGAGATCATCGAGAAACTGGCATTCATCTCAAATTTCATCAGACGCTTGATCAGGAAGACTTTCGGAGCGAGCCGATATAGTTACTACCAGAAACCAGATGACGAAGGTGCCGCTCCATACAAATTCATCGACATTAGCCCCGCCATCAAATCGGAGCGGAAGAATGTCACAAAGGAGATCCTCGTTGCATGCCGCTACTATGGCATAGAGGTATCCGATATCCAAGCACAGAAATTGAAGCTCTTTGAGGAGCAGATCCGAAGGGGAAACCCAAGGAACGTTGAGCTCATCAAGGACTACATTGGCTTTGTCGGAGCTGACTACATGCGACAACTCACGAATGGTTGAACATCGGGGTCATACCGACATACTACTTCCGGTACTTCAAGTACTGAGGGATCTTGGGTAATTCATGATGACCGTTTTGGCATCATGGGAGGGAGATAGGATTGTGTTTCACACCGTTGGTAATCGCATGATACCATAGGTAGGTGCACGTCTTCCGTTTGTAGCTCCGTTACCTGTTTGATCCAACTGTCAAGCGGATGCAAGATCGTTTGCTAATTCAGTTCGATAGGACATACTGGTTGACCTCCAATGCACTTTTGAGAACATGATTCGTTCTCCGGTTTTTTACATCCACTCATCTCCCTTCCCCGTCGAAGTACGGATGTGGGGGGTGTCAATAGGGATGAGGTCCCAGTATAGTTGCTATACAGGTACATGCCATATACTTTTGGCTCAAGTGCCCAACCAGGTAAAAAGGAGCTTTAGCGCGCGAGCTTCATGTTGAACTAAGGGCTAGAACGGGGCCAGGGCACACCTTTCCATCCGTTCGCAATGTTGACACTATGTCACGAAAGGTAGCCTGGTAAGGACTACCTTGAGTTTGCTTTGCGAAGCAAAGGGACTGGCTTGAGAGCTTGCTCGGGACTAAAGATTGGTAGATCAATGTCTAACACCCCCACCCCCCCCTCCCCCCCCTCCCATGTGATGAATGATTGATAAATCAATTGATTCGACCCCCCCCCCTCCCCTCCACTCCCCTCCCCGTCCCCTCCCCTCGTCGCCAGCACAACTAAATTCTGGACATAAGGTGAAGTCATGCGCTTAACAGTCACAGCAGTACGACGCTGGCCATGAGGTTGGTCATACGGGTACCTCTTCTGATTGTTTGCTTCTGCTGTCACCACCTCATGGGCTTTGGTTGCAGAAGATGACTCCCTGTCAGGTCACGTGCTTGTTTGTGAATGGGTGGTAAGCTGCTTTGGCAATTTTTTCAAGGCACTGGTGCCAATCTTTTGAAGGTGTTTGCTCTAGCTATCGCACATGCTGCGGAGTGGTAAATATTTTCGTGGTTTTGGAGGCCATACAGACATCCAGCAGTGGCTTTTGTTCTAAGCGCCTGTTCTTTGCAGGTATATTTGCATTTCTGCATATGAAATACTTGGCCTGCTCATTGTGTTTTGGCAAAGCCACCAGGGACGCTTCGAAGATACAATAAATGTTCTAAGACTAGGACTAGGGCTTTAGACATGTTCTATATAAGGTTGGAGGCCATCGCTAGTAGGGTGGAGGCCATTATAAGAAGAATTCCAAATGGTGTTTCCAAGAGTGCAGGGTTCTCACTTTTTGAGCAGAATGCTCCAAGCCTCCGTCTGCGGCTATATCTACTAGTGGCTCCTGGCCATACTACTAGGAGCAAATAGCTACTAGTAGCGTCCTTGCTCCTGGTAGCGATGCCCTTTGCTCCTAGTAGCGTCCTTGCTCCTAGTAGTAAGGCCAGGAGCCCCTAGTAGCGTCCTTGTTCCTACATATATAACTGTATCTTTGAAATTTGTGTGGGATGACTTCAAGCGTTTGACCTCAGCATGCTTGAATCATGGTTCTGGAATTTGGTTTGATATCATTGAAGTACCCAAGGTTCATCTTTGCCTGGAACATCGAGATCAACCGTTAAAGGTGCGAACTGCCATATATAAATAGCAAAGGCATAAGCGTTCTTGGCAATGAAACATGAGTGTTCTCCTTGCGCTTTGCGAACGGAGAGAATGTACACTGAGTTGTTTTGCTGCCTGGGAACAATTTTCTCCTATGCTGGGATGTCATTGGCACGTTTTGGTCCATCAGATCTAGAAGGCGGAGGAATTCAGGTGAATCTCCGCGAAGGCTTCGCAGGCAATCTTTGCTTTGCGGCGAACAAACCAGGCTTTTCGCCGCACAAAGGCGCCTGACATGCGGTGGCCCGCCAGAGTCCCAGAAAGGTTGGGCACGGCTAGTGGATATCAGCTTTCTGAAACAGAACCTGAAGCGCAGAAGGTGAGGGTGATGTATCACCGAGAGAGACTTTCATGCAAGGCTGATGTCGCCAGTTGGCCAAATGCGGCTGAATATTCAGATGCATGGCGCCACTTGAGCTTCATGGAGGCTCAGTGTGAGCTGGTTTACCGTTCAATGAGCATCCACCAGGGAGAGAAACGACTCGCATCGACTAACTGGTAGCCACTTGTAGCTGCCATGCCCTGCATTCAACAGAGCCGGCTTACAGAATTGTCAAAAGACGGCACAGCTAAAAACAAGAGCCTGAACATTAGCCTAGCATCATGCTGCAACAGAGGCAGTTTCCAAAGCTGTAAAATGTTTTTGGCATTTGAGATTTGTTCACGCTGACGCCATGTCGATAGAAGTGCAGTCCTTGGCGATCAATGCACTCACCAAGCGCATCCAAGAGGAAGCCAAGGTGTTGCCAGATGGCATCCTGAGGGTCGCTGATTTCCTGAATTACAGGGTCGACCCAGTCTTAATGGATGACTGCGGAGCAATTTTGGCAAATAAACTTTCCAGCAAGAAGCCTACCAAAGTTTTGGCTGGATGCTCCAGTGACTTGACTGGAAGCTGTGTTTGTGTTCGACGATTCCCTTACCGTAGCCATCGCTGGAGTTAGCTTGGTGAATTTCTTGAAACGTATGATCCTTTGCAAGCAACAATAGTAGCTTCTTGTTACTAGTAGCGATGCACCTTGCTACTTGTAGCGATGCACCTTGCTACTAGTAGCGATGCACCTTGGTACTAGTTGCGATGCACCTTGCTACTAGTAGCGGTGCGCCTTGCTACTAGTAGCTTAGCATTCTTTTCATTTGCGTTCTTTTCTTTATAGTTGGATGCCGCACACAGGTCAGGGTCTTTTACCTGCCCTAGCAACTTCCAGGCAGGACTGCAGCAACTGCCTTGAAACGACTGAATTGTGTGTTATGGTTTCCATGCGTTATATTGTTGGCAGCGGCCAAACAGGTTGCAAAATCACAAGTTCAAGACTTGAAGACATGGCAGAACAGCCTTGAGATGTTATGATCCTCTCCTGAGACACCTGAACATCCCGGTAGTCTTTGCCTATGCTTCTGTCCCGAACGCTTGGGGATCTCGCGAGACCATCTCAGCCACGATACAGGAAGCCAGACATGGTTGAGTCATCAGTGTCCTTTCTTTTCTAATGTCTTTAGATATCTTTACATATTGCCAACTTTGTTCTTTAACGGTCTTTAAGAGACTCCAACTTTTATCCATTTTATGTCCATCTTGGTTTGTGTTGACATAGGGTGCCAAGATGTATTGTCAATCTATCCCAAACATTGCCAGGTCCCTGATATATAAACCGGGCTCTTTTTTGGCTTTCTCTGGCGGGAGCGGAAAAGAAACAATCAAAACTACTTTCCAGGTGAGCCGGGCTAGAAAGCAAGCAGCCCCCCTTTCAGCCGCATTGATTTTTGCCGACAGTTTAATATCAACCTAGCGTGAAACAGATATACTCGTGCCATGCACAGACTTTTAAACACCCGCACATGCAAACCTTGTTGCTCCTCGGACAAATTAGGAGCGAGCTCATTTTGTATTGAAAGATGCCATCTCTGCAGAAGACCGTGTTATCATCATTGACGACATCGTAAGGACAGGGCAAATGGTTCATCCTTAACACAGATCATTTTGGAATACAGATTCTAGGGCGATTCTTTTCCTCCGTCTAGACTGCCCCTGAGCGATGAGTGCCGAAAGTGGTGTGTAGTCTTGTGAGGACAGGATCAACAGTTCAGGCTCTCAAGTCCATTTGTGAGCAAGCGGGTGCTACCTTTGTTGGCGTCGGTGCGATCATCCACAACCGGCTGCTGGAGAACTGCATGAATGGCTTTCAAATGGAAACGCTTGCTCAGGCGGCCGGAGACTTTCGCACCAAATCTTTGCGGACATGCGGTACAACATACACAGGAGTCGAGAAGCATTGGGTACAACATGGTGCAACTGTTACACCTGCTCTTTTGGACACACATGCACACTAGATTGCATGAACACCCATTTGGAATGCAGGTTTCGCCATCCTCATCTTCCTCACAACCTGTGACCATTAGCCCAGCTGTCGATGACTTGGCCTTGCCGGAGGTTGTTGCTGCAGATGTTCTCACCGAACGCGTGATGACTGACGGCGTGGTTCTGCCCGGAAATCTTCTGAAGGTCTACTCCTTTATCAATCACCAGGTGCCGCTTGCTTGACAATATCCTCCGATGTGAGAATGAAGTGCATGCGTGATATAAATATGCAAGTGAAACGGATACTGGTTTAACAGAATCCCGCTCCAACAGAGACACTATATCCTGAGGCCATCCACGATTAAAAGAAATAGACTTCCATGGTTGTGATTCCAACATAAGGACTTTGAGGCAGTGTCTTTGTTGAAGGACTAGCTACTAAGAGGCATACGAGGCATGTCCTGAGCCAGCCAATGAAAGCAAGCTGGATGAACAATCCTGGGTAGGTCGACACTGGCTTGATGGATATGTGCGGGCAATTGCTCGCACGTGTTTTTGCTGGGTTTGGCATTCAGAAGGTCCTCACGGCACAGACGGGCGGTCTACCACCAGCGCATGCTGTATCTTGTCACCCAAGTCTGGTGGCCATTCTTTTTACTGATGGTTCACATTTTGTCCTGTTGGCTTTTCCTCTATCATGCGAATTTGGAGCTGTTTAGCAAGGGTGATCAGAGATATATCCAGTTGTTTCTTGTGAAACATTTTGCTTGGATGAGGTGGCTACCGCGTTGCGGGTACCCTTGGTCTGTGCGCGAGAGACGCATGAAAATGATCAGTCTGTGATGGAAACTATGTATAGCGCACCATCTGAGAGCTTTACGAAAAAGAAGAAACTCGTGCTCTATGTTACAAAGGATACCTGGCAAGATTAGAGCAGGAAGTGAGTAGAGTCACGTCAGACTGTCGACCCGGCTGATGACTCATTTGTTGTCAAGTCCTCAAAATGTTCTTTTCTCAGTGGATCAGGCACTGGTGGTGTGAAAACAAATTTTCTGCTGGTTCTTGAAAGAGACATGTCGTGTCTGTTATTTTATTGTAATTTAAGGGGTCCTCGTTACTGTTGTTGATGCGCTTTGCTCTCTTGTTTCAGGAGAGCCTTTGTTCGAATGATACTGTGCTCGTGGTCGACGATTTCCTGGCCACGGGAACTACTGGAGTTGCGCTGCATCGACTTGCTGAGCAAGCAGGTGCTCAGGTGGCGGGAATGGCCTTCTTGGTGGAAAAGCGCTTTCAGGATGGTCGAGGAGCATTTTGCCATCCAAAAAATCATATGCATCATGAGCAGTATCGAAGAAAGGCCAGGAGCTTGTTCGCTACTAGGGGCTCCTGGCATCGCTACTAGTAACAAGGACGCTATTAGTGGCTCCTGGCATCGCTACTGGTGTGGTGTGGCGGGACTGCACCCTAGCACCTACCGGTCCGGGCCCACCAGGCACTCTGCAACCGGGAGCCCCCGCCTGCCGACGGGGGGGGAGTAGCAGCCTGGAACTTAGCAGCCTGGGAGTAGCAGCTCCTGGCATCGCGACTAACTAGGAGCAAGGACGCTATTACAAGTTCTATTCGGGTCGCTTCGCGACGACAACCGCCCGCACCAGTGGCTCTCAGAGAGAGGGCAAAAGAAGTCTCTATAATCAATCCATCTTCGGAGTTTCCGTCTGATACATGTTGTATGTCTCACTTGCAATTGCAAGCATTGTTGGATCTATGTTTCGACACCCTTGAAACTGTACATTTTCAACAAGGTCGAAAAATAGAGTGACCATGCACAAGAAACTGTACAATGTGCATGATCAAGACAAGACTTGGAGATGAACGTCGCATGAAGTGGATGAGTGAAAGTGGAGTATCCATAATAACTCTATTTTTGGACCTTGCAACTTGTTTGTATATATAGGTATGTTTTCTTTGCAACTTGCAAGCATTGTTGGATATATTTTTCGACCCTTTCACACTGTACATTTGAGGGTGTCCAAATTTTATCAACTGGCACTTTCTTTGCACACTGTACTAGCAACCAGCTGATGCACCAGCTGATACATATGATACCGTTATAAGCTATAGCAACCAGCTGATGCATATGATGCAGCCATGACATATGGTTATACTAAGACATAGACTGTTGAGACGCGTCCTTTGTTTGCCTTTCATGGAGCCGGTGACCCAACTGATACGATATTTAGAAACACAGTCAGACATAGATGATATGTGAACACCATATGTTCTTTTTCTCCACTCCTACTCCTCCCAGACACACCTCATGATGCAGGATATGCATTTTCGTTCCAAACGAACATGCACCCCCTAGCTAAAACACTATATTAACTATATCATATAGTGATGAAGGCGAATCAGCCGTGCCACGTCCCTCAGAACCTTTGGTGCGGGCGGATTTACACTCACAGAGTCGAGGGCATTGAAGTGTGCCAAAAAGAGTGTTCCCCAAGCCATTAGAATTTGCATTCCGTGTGCTTTACTTTCGCATAGGTTTCTAGCCGGAAACGAAGGATACCCTTGGACATTGGGCCCTTGATTATCGCAGCCTTCTTTTCTGACCTCCAGGAAAGATTTTACGAGAGCTTCCAAAGATGGCTGGGAGGATAGTCTCGCTTGCCTGCATTGAGTCTATGTCGGAGGAGACCAGGTCCAAAAAAGTTGAAGGAGGGACACCTATGTACCCCTCAAGGCTCTTGTCTCAAATCCCCAGTGGTGCTTTCTATCCCAAAGTAGTCTTTGGTTCTTGAGCCAACCATTGTCAGGGCAGTGTATAGGTCAGCTCAACATTGAGATAACGACCCAGGAAGCTCGAATACCGACACGACAAGACAAAGTTAGCAAATTTGATGACAGGCGTAAACCAGGTCCCGCTGAGATTCTTCTGGAATAGCCAAAATGCCTCAAGATCTCATGTTCGCTGAAGTTCTACCCTGTGGAGGAAGGCATCTCGCTAGACTGCAAGGTGGTCGGCGACTGCGAGCCCTTGCAGAGCGTGAATGACACAGCGATGATCGACCGCGTCTTGGAATGTGCTCAGCCTGCTACTGGCTACGGCATGATCAACGCCACCACCT